TTTTGGAATTGATTTACTATTTTTAATTGATTTTACAAAGTTAGAATACAAATTTCCAGAATGCTGGAATTTGGGGTATGTTGGTCTTTTTAGCTATAACGGCCTAGTAACGGCTAGTTTTTGATATTTTCGGTTTTTGGGGGTTTGTGGCTGGTTTAAGAGGCTATAAAAAGGCGCCTCACTTTCATTCGTTTCTCAGATCGTTTAAGATAGTTTTAAAAAGAGTTTTTACAAGTTTGTTTAAGAGTTTTTAAGTTTGTTTCAAGAGTTTGTTTATGAAGAAACTGTTTCACAAGAGCTTGAGGAGATCATTCTTTGGTGTTTGGCATTCAACTCTTCTCCCTCTCTCCTTGTTCATCTTTAGAGAAGTGTTCTAAACTCAATCATAGCTTTACATTTAATATTAATTGTTTGATGTATCATTGTATTAAGCTAGAATTTATTTTGAGTTTAGTTTGATTTGATTTACTCTTTGTTTACACACACAACCATTGATGCTTATTGTATTTGCATACATTATATAATTGGGTTGTGGATTGTGTGACATTTGAGTGTGAGCCTACATTGTGTTCTCACCTTGTATTAGAGAACAAACACCTTGTTATTGTGCCCTAATTGTAATAGATCACTTATGTAAATACACGTTGTAGCACCGAGAGGAGTGTGTGGTGAGAGTCGGGATCGTGCCCAAGAAGAGTTGGCATCGGTTGACGAACCTAGGAAGGTTGTAACACGCGAGCACTTGAGGGAGACACGGCTAGGTCCAACACTTGTGAGGGTGTTGATGGGTTTGCAAGAGTGAGTTGTAGAGTTTTCGGTTAGCTAGAAAACCGAGTGTGTAGAAGTTCCGGCTTCCAAACCGGATTGTGTTAGTGGATTTCTCCCCGGGAGTGGGGAGCGGAGACGTAGGACGGAAGGTCCGAACTCCGTGATCATATGCTTGTGTTTGAGTGTGCTTTGGCATTTATTTATACTTGTGTTTATAATTCTTGCGCCATTGTCATTAGCTCATTATTTATATGATGCCACTATCTGAGTTCATATTGTTTACACATTGTCTTAGTTTATATATCCTTGCATATATATTTCATCATATAGGATATACGCATTGTATACATTGGCTTATCGCTAGCTCATATATCTTGTGGTATTTCATACTTGCTAGGATAACTTGTTAATTATTTAATTGGCATTAAATCGGATTAGATTAGCATAAGACCCTAATCACCCCCCCTCTAGGGTCTAACAGATGTGGAAGAATGCAAGTTCACCAAACTCACTTGCTTGCTACTTAACATCATGGAGGGCATTTCAGTTTCCAGCCTTGGCTCGTCAGCAGAGTTTGATGATAGTGTTATTGTGGTGAGGATGGATCTTTGGTGAGCGAATGGTCTTCAAACATGCTGACGAATTTGCTGATTTCTGGGTTTTCCACTTTATTGTTAAAAGCAAGTGTCAAAATCTAGAGTGAGCAAATTTTGAAGCTTAGAGGATCTTGTTGATTTTTTTTTTTTTTGCAGAGTTGCAAATTGATCTCAAGCTATTGTTGCATCCTTGTTATATAGAGTCAGAAATCCTAACAAAGGTACAATTTATATCCTAGTAGGTGTAGTGTTGTATAGTACATTGGTTTTTGAATTGAGATGGGAAAGAGCAATCAACGATTCTAATAATGTAGTGACCTCTAAACTATTTTTTCCATGGCGGAGAGGATTCACATCCATGATGGTGGTGTGAAACCATGGACAAATTGCATTAACAAATAAAAGGCCAAATTTCAAAAACTCCCCTAACATTGGACGATTATCAGATTACTTCTGAAACTTTCAAAACATTAGAAAAACCCCTCTAAGTTTTGGGGTTATCAGGAAAACCCCTGTTAATATTAAGATTTTCTTTAGAAACACTCCTCCCTAAAAGCGTTTAGCTTTAATTTTCATAGAGTTGAAATATTTTTGCTACTGAATATTATGATTCACACTTCAAAGAGGATTTTCTTAAAGAACTTTAAAGTTAAACAAAATTTTCTAGTAACCCCTAAGCATAGAGGGGTTGTCTGAAAGTTGTAGGAGGTTATCTGACAGTTGTCCAATGTTTTCTTTTGGTGGTGGTGGTCCATGTGTAGGGGTGGTGGGGGTCCCTTGAAACCTAGTCTGATTAAAAGATAGCTACACTATATTTTTTCTAAACTACTCCAACACTACTGTACCCAAAGATTGTGATGTCCTCGATCATTCATTAATTTTCATACGGCTAAATTATCAAATTGGTGTTTAAAGTAGACCCTCTTTACCAATAAGGTTATCTGGACTCTATTTACCGATAAGACACTATTTCTCAAAATTTTGGTTGGAAAATTTGTTTTAACCCCTTTACCTCCCAAAATTATTAAATCTATGCCCAGTGTTATCATTTTTTCATTCTTTTTCTCCAACTCTTTAATCTATCAAAAATTAAAAATAAAATAAAACTATAGAATGCCAAAATTAAAAATAAAATACTCCTTTTCTCCAGTCTCTCAAATTATTTTTGCATAACGACAAAATTAAAAATAAACTAATTTCAAAATGGCATCTTAGACCAACACATTCCTCAACAGCGGCCAGTTCTCAAAGCAAACCTCCATCTTTGGCCTCAAGCTATTGTAGGCTGTCAAAAAAAAAAAATCAAAATAGATAGCTGATCTCCCATCAAACACCGATGATGAAAGTTACAATCTGACGACTTCCAGAAGGCTATAATTTGAAGACTTTCACATAGACCGATGAATGTTATAATCTGACGACCTTCACAACAACTGATGAAAGCTCTAATCAATAGTCTTCACAATCAACATCGGGAGTTACAATCTGACGACTATCATATTTTCAAGGAGCCAAGATGAAGATTACAAGATAATAGTCTTTGCAACACTCTGCAGAAGAAGCTATAAGGGCGCGTTTGGAACACTTTTTTGGGGTGTTTTTTGGGTGAAAGCCTGACAAACTGTCAGGCTTTCACCCTAAAACGCCTCTAAAAAAAGAGGAGAGGCGTTTTAGGGTGAAAGCCTGACAGTTTGTCAGGCTTTCACCCAAAAAACCCCAAAAAAAGTTTTGTCCAAACGCGCCCTAAGTCATTAGCTCCTTCTAAAAATACGGAATTCATCTTCGCGTTTCAATTCCTGAAACGCAGGCGACCCCCGCGTTTCCAACCTTCAGCAAACGAAGCGCAGGCGACCCCGCGTTTCCAACCTTCAGACTCCAAAACGCGAGTGGCCCTCGTGTTTTTCAACACCCAGCGAGTACCCAACTCTGCGTCTCCATTCTAAAACGCGGAGTTAGGGTCCTCAACGCCAACATGGACGTTTGACTCGTTTAAACACGAGCTGAACGGTTACATAAACCGTTTTTCCTCCACGATTTGAGGGATTTCCGTCCCACTTAGGAGCGGATTAAGGGGGCGGTTACACCCCTCTCAACCCCATTATGGAGAGAATTAAGGGGGGCGGTTACACCCCTTAATTTCCTATAAATATGGGTAAACTCAATTGAGTTCGAGCTGGCTTTTTGGATCTTAGAGTTGGCAACGAAGAGGAGATCTTCGGCTTGGCAGCGAGGGGAAGATCGACGTTCATCCTTCAACAACGTTCGACAACATAGGGCTTTCATCCTTGGCTTATAAACCGATTTCGGTTAAATCAACTCTTTCATAGAGTTTCAAACTCGTTCAGAGTTATCTACTCGTCCAGGGTTCTAAAACTTGCTTTGTAAGTTCTCCACAGCGTCAAATCGTGAGGAGGAGATATCGTTCCAGTGAATCAAAACGTTCGGATCATCAACGGAGAGCAAACTCGACGCGAGCATTCGAGGGAGGCACTCCATCGCCACCGTGAAGAACCCAGACTTAAACAAAGGGGAGGATTTGCATCAATTCTCTTCTCTTTTGTAATCAGGAAATCCAATTGTAACTGAGATTAAAGGAATATAAATCAAATTTTTCCTTCGTTTCTTTTACTGCAAATTTTCCCACAAACAGCTATTCACCATCATCGGAATCCTCATCGGCACCGCCTTCATCATCCTCCTCTTCCTCCACTCCCTCTGTTTCACCTCCCGCAGGCGCCGCCCACCTTTGCCGCCACTCTCTCCCCTCCCCTCCTCTCGCAAACCCTTGAAGCTCCTCCTCCACGAAGCCACCCATCAAATCTCCAAAGAAATCCACTCCATCTCCCCTCTGCCCATCGTCGTCGTTCTCTTGCAGTATCGCCTCCTTCTCCCGCTACTGCCGTCGACGGATGGAGACAGCAAGCAGTCGCCGAGGAAGTCGTTTGGGCGGCCGTTGGAGGTCTCGCATTTGGGTTAGGGGCATTGTTACACGCTCTGAGAGCTCGAGACGATGTCAGATAAGTTCACCAACAAGAATGTCATCGGCAAAGGGGGATATGGGATTGTTTATCGCAGAGTGTTGAGTGATCGCACGATTGTTGCTGTCAAAAAATTGTTGAACAGGTTTGTTTCTAAAAATAGTTAAATGAAAGAGATGGAGAAAAGATGAAAAAAAGAACAATCTTAGGTGTGAATTTAATAGTTTGGAGAGGTTAGGGAGGTGGAAGAAATTTTTCCGCCAGAATTTTAAGAAAAAAGATTTTATTGATAAGGAGAGCCTTAATAAAATACCATAATATTGCCGGGTTTTCAGACTATTGTATATAGTACGATAGAAGTAATTTAGATAGCGTGGTTTATTTAGAATTATCCCAATATAAAATCTTTGCATTACAACATGATAAAAGCTGCGGAATTAATCATTACATTAGATTGCACGCATGACAGGGACGGCCCTACCCAGCCCAACTTGCTGAATATCAAAATCTTCAATTTTGGGCCTAAACGTAAATAAGTCCCATATATATTAAGCACCGACAATACAGTTGCTGGCAGCGGATGAGTTTAGTCTGGCGGTAAGGGCACCAGCCCAAAGTTGTTTGTTAAATTCCAAAAAACCATTTGGGCCGGGTCTGACTCTAACATGTAACCCCGACGAGGGTCTGTCCAGCTTCTCGGCTACGCCTCCCTCCCCTTCGGAATAAACAGATAGAGCTACTTTTTCTTCAAAAGGGAAAGGGGTCAACTCGCAAATCCTATTTATAGTTTTGGGGCCGAGATTTGATTGCCGACCGCAAGAGAGAGGAGGAGGAGCGGCGATAATGTCAGGCATAGCGCGTGGAAGATTGACGGAGGAGAGGAAGTCATGGCGAAAGAATCATCCTCATGTTCGTACTCTCTCCCTCTTCTTCTTTTTTCTCTATTTTTTTATCATTAAATTTTTTTTATCGTTTCTAGGGTTTTGTGGCGAAGCCCGAGACCCTACCGGATGGCTCGGTGAATCTCATGGTCTGGCACTGCACGATCCCTGGGAAGCAAGGGGTATGGTTTATCCTTGATCTGCTTGTGTTTTTCTCCGTGTCGATTTTTTCAATTTTAGTCCAGCATTCCGTTTTAATTGAATTAGTTTGCCTTTTGAGATTGAGACATGGATTCTTAGGCCTAGTGTTTATTCATCTTGAACCCTGGCCCTAGAATTCTGCATGTTTACTATTCTCGATTGTTGAACTTGGAGCGTAGTCACTTCGTCTGATGGACACGTGCGTAGGTTCTAATTCATCAAGTGGGGGGTAAGGTTTGAGTTATCAAGATGGTAATAATTTTGAGTATACTATCTACAAGTTAGAGAGAGGAAACTGAAAGCTAGGGAGGGGCATAGAAAATTGAAGATCTACCATGAATACTTATGCTTATTTTTCATGGTCTTTCTACTAAGTACGTATTCTTATGATTTACCATGGATGCTTATGGTTTATCCTTGATTCTTCATGTTTACACTGAATATGCTTATGATTTGTTGTAAAGTATTACTTTCTAAAGCGCATGCTGTATTTAATCTATTTGACCCTCATGCGGCCTTGTTTGTCTTCTGAGTTTTCTCTGCAGCAGTTTTTGTGGCAACTTACATGAATGTCCTTTTCTCACACTGTTGAATGTTTTGTAATTAGAAATTACTAGTGCCTCATCATATAGAGTAAGGGACTTATTACTTTCTGTTATTCATTGTAATGCTATCATGCGCTGGCATCTTCATAATTTAATGGATCCACATATATAGAACTCCCTATTGGATGTAGTTACAACCTCCTTGGTTTTCCAGACAAAAGATATTTTCCAAGTTCATTTTTACTCACGTACGCTATTGGTACTTGCAAATTTCTTTAACGGATAACCTTTCTTATCTGGATGTCTTAGAAAACCTGGTCTAATGATCACCGCTCAGATGATAATTTAATTTCATCTTTATGTTTTTTATATGTTTAACATATTTCATGAGTTTTAGTATAAATTGAGAAAAGGAAGAAGTATGCTTATCTCTTCCCTTTCTCCCTGTAGGTCTCATTTCTCTAGTAATCCTCAGATGTTAGCTAGAAATTCTCTCCCATTTTTTCACACTGGAATACCTCTAGTATTTTCTCCATCTCATTTAAAGAAATGTGCAGGATGCGAATCTTTGGCTTCATCTATTCAACACGCCTAAGAGAACAAAAGTTCATATTTTTCTATAGTGTCTATGGGTGGAGATTTTTTGTAATCTTTATTCTGGTCTTGCTTTAATATGAGAATATGAATAATTATTCTGGTCTTGCTTTAATATGAGAATATGAATAACCCTAAATAAATGAAATAATTGGTAAAATAAGATCAACAGAGGATGGAAACTAAGTTTAAATGGGCGGCAAATCTTGTTACATGCATCACTCGTTTCAACTCTGGACTCTTTGATGTGACTTCTGTACTAATTTCATGTATGATGCGGCTCTTTAATGGTCCTCATGAAATATTATCCAATTGGTTGGGAAATTATTCAACGATGCTTTTGCCTTACGCTAGACTTATATGTGATTCAACAACCTTACTTGAGGTTTCATGTGTGGCGTACAATCATCACTGCATGGCGTACAATCATCACTGCATAATGGAGCAACTACTGCTTCTTTTCGAACTTTTTCCCCTGCTGTTTCAAATTTCTTTTTTAAATTTTTTGTATTGTCAACCTGATTGTTGCTTTCACTTGTTTTGGGACTGACCTTTTCCAGTGCCTTTTAGGCACCAAAGTCTGTTTTATGCCTAGGTCACTCAGAGGTGACATTACATGCAATGATGAAAAAAATTGGTGAAAAGTGCGCTATAACCGGATTAAAGCGGAATCTGCCCCAGGCTGTTTCGTTTTCACCACTTTCATTGATATTAAGCTCACTTGTTGCTAAAAAGCACACTAAAAACACTTACCTTTGCTTTTAAAAAACTAACAACAGGTTTCTAGGCAGCCCTTTCATACCCGACTTAAATTCGACATGTTTTAAAAGTTAAACCCCCTTTCTCCTCTGCTTCCTGATTCTCTCCTTGTGTTCCGAAGCCAAAAAATTCTACGCCCCAAATTCTCTGCCTCCATCCTCGTTCACCTTCTCCATCCTTCTCGTTCACCTTAACAAGTCCTCTTTTTGAATGAAGTCTGCTCTTTTTTTCTCCGCCTTGTCCACCTCCTTCTCTGTTGAAGCTCATCCAAAATTCAGTCGAAGCTCTCTCTTTGCTAAATCCTCAACAAGTCTGCTTCTAGCAAAACCATCTTCACGTGAACCCATAAAAACCCTGGATCCTGAAAACTGTGACTGCCTCCAACAAGTTCCACCTCTATGAAGCTATCGTTTTCTTTTTTTTTTAATTTATTTTTATCAATATTTATAATTTTATTAGGATTTGGACTTTTTTCCCTTGGCATTTGTTTTGCTGTGAATTGCTTAAGCCTGGAAAATCTAAGCGTTGCCTCATTGCTTCAATCCGCTTTCTGATTTTAATGAACTTGATTACATGCTGAAGTCTTCTGAGAAGAATAAGCAAAATCACATCATATAAGATCCTTTGATGTAAAATGAACATTTTGGTTCCTTTACTCCAAATGTGATAATGTTAGTTATATATGGAGATTGTAAAGGGTGATACTTTCTGCTTTCAATGGGATTAACTTATGGGAAAAGTAAATGACAGATGAAGTAGGTGTGTACGTTCACGTGTGTTTAGCTCTAATGTGTCATGAAAATTTTTGCTCTAGACTATGCTATCCATGTTGGGTGAACAGTATTGTTAAGTATCTTAGATATAATGCTAACTGTATATCAGAGATGAGTGTAAATATAGAAAACACTAAATTTTCATAACCTCATATGGTATGTGGATTTCCCCAAAACTTCTGTCATTAATCCTACAGAGATATCATGTACGTATCGTATGCCTCCTTAGGACATTGGTTTGCACATGTGCACACACTATATGTATGTATGTTTATACATATGTATCTATATGTATGTCCATCTCTCTTGTCTGACGATTCTCGATTCCAATGCCCAATTATGGTGAGTCCACTCCCAGATGGTACTTCTGACTCTTGCCTACTCACATTTGCCTCCTCTCCTCTCCTCTCATCCTCTCCTCTTTCATTGCACTGTAATGTCTACTATCATTCTTTTCTCTCTGCCTTATTTTCTATTGTACCATCATTTTAACATGATCCTAGCAAGATATTATATGGTCTTATTAACATGCAAAACAAATTTTGCAAAGATTCACCCTTTTGTTATTGTTCAATTTGCTTGATTTTTCAAGAATAACAAATAAATGCATTTGGAAAAAAAGTAATAACTAGTAACTTGTGTCTCTTCATTTTCTGGAACAACTTTCAGGATAATTGTTGCATTTACGAGAGTTTTATTTTGATAAAATAAATTAATTGGGAATTCCTTACCTCTTTTTGGCACTTATAATCACCATTTTATTATGGAAACTCTAGATTTTCTCGATTTCCTATAACAACTTTCAGGATAATGGTTAATTTTTTTTCTTAATTTTTGGATCAAAAGAAGATATAGATTAGAAACTTATTTCTTTTATATTGTTTGTATGATTATCATCTCCTGCAATTATTCTATCTAGTTAATAAAGTTTGAAAGACTAAGAATAGAGTGTGTTACTTATTGAAATCTAACCATGGTTTTTCTTGTGGGTTTTATGTAACATAACTTTTATCTATTGTTATTGTTGGTTTTTTGTTGGTCAAATGGAAGTGTGAAGCTAGGGGTGGTTCTGTAATTTACTCTTAAATAAAGTACATGTCTTTTAAAAGTTGCGCATATGCATATTCGTCATTCTTCAACATTCCCCTTCAAAAAAGAATTTAAAAAAAAAAAAACAGTAGCTTTCTTGCTTATCTCCTACTAGATGGACCATTGTCAAGTTTGTCCTAGCCTGTTTAGCAGATTCTCTTTCAGGGATTTAGTACTGAGCATTAGTGTGATTAACTACTCGAAACTAGGGGTAATTTTTGACCCAACCCATCAACGCGACCATTGTTTTAAATATCCCCGACATGTCCCGATATACCCCCCAATATATCCTTTTACAGGGCTTGCCGCAATCGATATGGTCTCTAAATATCCTTTACTGTTTTTTGGCTATTTTGGATGATATATCCCCCGATATGGCCGTTATATCAGATGATATGTGGACCAATATATCTTTTTATATGGCTTGTCACAAAACACTATACTGTGTTTGACAATTTTTGGGCAAGATATCATGATTTCCTCATTATATCAAATGACATTTTACCCTAAAAAATCAGACCAAATGTTGCAAAGTTGATTTGTACTTTTGTTTTTTTACAAGGTTGATTAGTGATCGTAAACATATATCATTCACATTTTATATGCTTAGATTTCATTACATACATGGAGATTACATTTTAGTGCATTATACTATATATGCAAACATCAGTTATGGCATTCCGATATTTACCACATATCCCCGATATTTCCCCAATATCCGCAATCCGATATGAATTTTGGTCATCCAATATTTCCCCGATATCCGATATTTTAAAACATTGAATGTGACCCAATCCTAACTGTTATTAACTGGTATGAGTCGAGATATATGGGTTTGGATAATATACGAATCAACCCGAGCTACCCATTTATTTATCAGGTTGATCTGGGTCGACCCAAGCTGACATATTTAACACATTTCATTACTCATTTAGTTTTAAGTGTGTCAGCTGTAGATGGGTATGGTTGTAGATGGGTAATCTGAGTAACTCTAACTCCTTTCTTTCTCACATTATCGTAAGGTAATCTGAGGAACTCTGATCCCTTTTCTTTGAGCAAAAAAGTCCTAGCCGCTCTGAGCACTTGCTTTTTTGCAAATTTTGGTACTGGAGGAAGTCTCACTTTCATATAACCTTATGAAAAGAATATAGAGTTTCTGAAGTTTTTCATTTTTTTTGCATCTCTTTGACAGCACTATAAGGGTTCAAGGGTCATTCAGGT